ACAGATAGAACAGACAGACACACACACACACACACACACACACACACACACACACACACACACACACACACACACACACAGAGCTCAACAACATGCTTGAAGTTTGAATAAAATGTTTGAAATATATAACAAAACAAGTTTAAACCCTCAAAAAATCTAGGATTGCTTGAACTGCAAGGATTTGAATATTACATTATGTGCGGAACCAAAAAACTCGAAAGCCACAGAAGTATTCCAATTCGGATGCCTCAAACAAACAAAATCAGACAAACAAAGCACCTGAAGGATTAACTTTGCTTTTGCTTTGGGTTTTTTTGTGATGTTACAAATTATTACAGGGATTGCTAAGAACAAATGTGTGATGCTAACCATAGAAAAAGTCTCTCTCACTAAAATATGAGCTTTACAATTTCAGTATTTTTGGAACTATAAGTCACACTTTTTTAATAGTCCTATCAGTTGCACTGTACATGGCGTGCATGTCTACACAGGAGGTTTGCATTTTTGTATTTGATAGATGGGTTTAATGACAGAACCACTCACCTGCGGGGCTCCAGGTGTGTCCAGCACCAGATCCGGCAGCTCTCGTAGGAGTTTGTCAAAGGACTTCTCCATGTCACTGCGAATTAAAACGGGCCCACAGAGATCAGCCAGCAGCCTGGAGGTCAGCTCCCGGTGACTGGCCTTGGCCTCCAGCGCCAACGACACAGCCAGCGAGGGCACTTCGCTTCTCATGGGCCCCAGGTTCAGATCTGCTAGCAATTCCTACACAAGGAGGGAGATGTTAACACTTTGTATAAGCTCAAGTCTTTACGCTTATTCATAGATTGCACCCCTCGTGCTTACCGCAACTTCATTTGTGTCTCCGTGTTCGAAGTACTCCTGCACGATGGGCGTGACCGTCTTCTCAAAGTCCCTCTCATCCAGCGGGGGTACCACAGTCTCATACACGCAGTTTTCCTGGCAAAACATTCCAGACGTTCACAACAAATACATAGACGGATTGTTTTATGTCATTTGCTTTTGTTCTGTTTTGGTTTACTCTGCTCCCTGCAGCCAGGTTGGTATTACAAATGAAACTGCTATTAATGGCCTTATTTGGAGAAAGGTTAAAATGAACATTAGTGTTAAAGCACAATGTCGCAACAGAAATAGTAGACACATAAGGTACATCATTTAATGAGGGACAAAAGAAGACTTCTCTCAAAAATACACTTCTCATAAAGATAACGGGCAGTTGCTATTGACAAGCAGTCTGTTGATTAACTTTGCCGTCAGTACCTGAGCTTCGTCATAGTTGGGGTCTTTCTCATCTACATGTTCTGGTTCATACACCTCACCGGATCTGCCCCACACACCTTTGCCTCCAGCCCCACCTGTGGACAAAATTCAAAAGCAAACGTTTTCAATCAAAGCCAATGATGTAAATTACTACAATGACCTGATTTATATGCTCACGTTTAGTGGTTTGTAGACTCATGTATATTAAAAAAAAAAAAAGGAATCTAATTTAAAACCATCTCTCAGCTCAAGGAAGATTTTCTTATACTTAAGATGAAAATGATTTGCTAGTTGGGAACCACCAAGGCTCAAAAACAAGACCAGTTCCAGACAAATCCCAGAAGCAAGACCACCCCCTTACTGCGAAGGAGTCTGCTTTGCATGCATTCGTTGGCCAGTACAGTATTGAGTTCTGTTGTGAAGAACTTACACGCAGCAACAGATTGCAGGCACTTTGAAAAAAAGTGTAGCAAAGCAGCTTGTGTGCCAAGCTTTATTTGACATCTCACTATATTTAGACCACCTGGTTATGTGGACACATTTGGCTCAGTCTGTGTGTGTGTGTGTGTGTGTGTGTGTGTGTGTGTGTGTGTGTGTGTACATTTTTAGACGGGTTATGGCTTCTAAACTTTAAAAGCTGAAGAGGCCCGGCCTCAAAATTGCAAGTGCGACTCATCTATTATTCGAACACAAACTATACAGTGCAACAAGTTCTGCTAAATTCTGTGGAAAGAGAAATTGCATTTCATTCCAACTACCAGGGACATTAATGATACAGTATAAGGGTATACATCTGCATGACATAGGAAAACCCTGAGTCTGTGCATTTGCTGCATTTGTCTTTATCTCTTTTTAAGCTCTTTTTACAAAACGTATTCAAAATTCCAGAAGGAGGAACAGCCTCAGCAAGGTTACGAAAAGACGAGAGTAAGAATGTAAAGTAATTGTGCGTGACTTGGATTTTGTTTCACTAACTTTGCTGATTCTGTGTTCGTGTTTGTGATTCCCATTGATTTCGTATTGTTTAAATGAGCAGATGACCCAATTCTTCTATCCATTTTCAATGTGTTGTCAATCACATCAGAACATTTTTTCTCGTTTTCAACCTGTTTGAGCAATTTCACCCATGATTTTTTTTTTTTTTAAATAGCCGGAGGACCGGAGCAACAAGTGTTACAGGTGAAATGGTTGGCATATGTCACAAAGGTATACAAAAAGCCACAACTCAATGGTAGTCCTATAATTAACAGAGACCAAGCCCTCTGCAGGAGTAATGTTATAATAGTATTAGAGCTGTGTGATATGAATAAAATTTAACATCTCACAACTTTTTGCCAGACATCTCGATAACGATATGGTAACAACATTACTATGGGTTCAGTGAAAACTAATTCTTTTTTTGAAGAGAAAAACCCCATAAATCTAAAAGGATGTGGAAAGTGTTTTTTTTTAGAACTTCTGACGGCCATCAACATTAAAGTCAACAATAAATGAAAAATAATTACCTTCACATTGTACTGCAACTGTGCTTTAATGATAAATAATTTTATGCTGCAACAGAAGTGTTTGGTGTGTTTGCATGCGCGTGTTAACTACATCAACGCACATGTTGTTCTGTCCGTGCATGACCGTAGTAAGGATAAGTGGTTCAGAATGTGCCTAGATGTGTTGTGTGGGTTATGGGGGAGGGGAGTTAACCACTCACCCACATTCATGACGTTCGTTGGTTGTGCATGCAGTATGCAATGATGCATTACATGGAGATGTGATGTGTAAACTCCCAGAGAACGGATCAGCGAGGCGTGGGCTGCTCGTACAACAAGCTCAATTTTGAAATTATAAATATGGTCACGTAATGTTCTAAAACACAATATGTGTATCATCCGTCCATATATAATTGACAGCGAATATGGAAGTGGATTTCTTGTGTGTGCGCGGTCTAGGCAGCAGCAGCTGCGTGTGTCCCTCCTCCCTCTGTAAGATGATTGCTATCTGCTGGTTTTAACTGCCAATCAACGCCAGACTTGTGAGGAGGAATGTGGTTGATTTAACTGAGATTTACATGCAGCACAAGCGTGGCAAGGTCACGTGACTGATATCATCATTTCGATATTAATCTCTTGAATGTTCATATCTCCATTTTATACGATCGCCCAACCATAATTAGTAAGGTACATCAACAGTAATATCACCGTAAAGAAGTAGCATATCGGCGCCGAGACGAGGAAAAATTAACCTATTGTGCGTCTTTGACAAAGAGCGTAGTATATGCGACAATGATTACACAACGTGGTGCGCAATTCAGTCTGCAATGCTTTTTTGACACATTTTGCTTCCTGGTTCATCAACCACATGTAACGATTAATTTTTTTTTTGTATGAGGCGAATATGAAAATGCCAATACAGTGCCGGTTAGATTTTTTTTTTTTTTTAATGCGCTGCATACATTTGTGGTGTGCTAAGAGTATAAGAGCTGTGCACAATTGCACATGCACACATCTTAGAGAACATTGCATGCAAGTGTGAGAATATGCAAACTCGAAATACGATCTATAGGCTTCATCGTGGGAGTGTAGTACTGCTGCTAGACCTTTTTTTTTTGTAAATTCCCCAAACTTGTGTAAGGTGAAACTGTCAAAACTGAAGATCACAAAGACTGCAGCGGTGTCCCATATGTTTCGTCTTGTGTCAGTTACCAAAGTTAAGCCAGTTGTTAGCTTTATTGCTGTTTATGTGGTTTGCAGTTAACTTTTTTTCATGTTTGCTCATCGTTAAAAAGTGAGATGTTTAATGGGCCCAGCAACATGAATACACACACACACACGACACCATGTTTTTTTATTGACTTGTGTCTTAATGAAAATGTTTTCCAAGTTAACCACTTTTCATTTTTATGCATGTTGTTGGACAGGTAAGACAGTTACCCCATATAGGTTTAATTTTGACCGACTTCTGCCGGCATAGATTAATTCTATTGCCATCATTTCCCACGAGACAAAGCACAAAATCAACCAGTAATTGAATCAGATTTTGTCATTTTAGAGGTTCCATTTAAAATGGGATAAAAAAGGACATCAAAATACCTTGTTAAAACACGAGACAATAACTGTACCTCTACAGTATATCACATTAGACCTTCAAAGCAACCTGTTTGTCTGTTCCCTCACAATGTTTGCAAAATAACCAGTTTGTCAACCAAAACAATAGGCAATAACATCCATTAATCACAAATGTTTTCTGGCATATCTCAACAGTTACTGTCATTACTTATTATTTAATACATTGTCTTACCTTTCTTTGGCAGACCTCGGCCTTTACCCAGTCTGGACCTCCTGTCCAGCAGCTTACTCTTGGGGCTCGTGGGGGCCACGCTTGTCCCCCTGACCAAATCGCCATTATCACTAAGGGAGTCCCCTCTGCCAGAATCCCTGGATGAGTTCTTCCTGAGCCTTCGTTTAGCCTTGGCCTTGAGACGTGCCTCGTGGATGCTGCTGCTCGACGACAACAGCCAGTTGCCATTGATCTCGTTGCTGATGTTCTTGTTGGCGGTCAGTGCACCGCCGTTGTTTTCGTCTTCAGACACAAACGAGTCACTCCCATTGTCGACTTCTGTTCGATTAAAAAGATTTGATTAGTCGTGTACCTACAGTACAGTTGATTCGGTTCGATAGAATAACATGATATCACTGAGCCATACATTTTCTATATTGCCTGTCCTCATTGGGATTGTGGGTAAGATGCAGCCTATTTTTGCTGACTTTGGGCAAGAGTGAGGGTACACCCTGGACTGGTTGCCAGTCGATTGCAGGGCACATGAGGTCAATGAACATTCACACACATTCACATCAATGTACATTTTAGAGTCTGCGGTTAACCCAACATGTTTGCACTGGAAATACATGTCGTGAAGATTTGATTACTGGGCACTGCTATCCCAACAATAAATGCCTGGATTCGAATAAAATAGAAGGGTTGTTTCAGGAATGGCAACATCTGTAAAAATCGTGACAAACAAATCATGCCCTTAGCTCAGTGTGGTCACTCCTGATGGGACAAGCTGAAGCCAAAACCAAAAAAACCCATACCATTGAAAGGTGAGGGGATAAAAGGGTACCTAGAGAACATCTCAGCAAACAGTGGGCGAACATACAAAGATCCTAAAACTAACTGTGAGGCTTGACTTGTTTACCAATAGACCAAAATGCAAAACATGACATCAATCTTTAAATAATGCATTTGTTACATTGCATGTCATGTTTTACTACGTAATTATGTAGATTACATCACACGACATCATACACTATATGAGGAGTGACGTTTACATATATTTTAAATAGGCCATCGTCATGTATTCATTAACATAGAAATACAGTACAGTGACATGTCTGCATGTCCACTAAACCGCCACTTATAAATAAGTAAAAAATAATAAAATCAACACCAAACCCTGCATTATCCCCATTCTACCTGCCTGCACGATTGATGAATTGCGAAGGAGTGCCAAAATAAGACGACTTCCACGTACAGAGCCGTTTCTCCTCATTCGAACACAGCTGATAAAATGGCTTGGAATGGCTCACACTCACCGACGGGGTTCGAGTTCAGCCAGGCCTCGCAGTCAGCTGCCATATCCGACAACAGGAAATAGATGTTGCAACCGCAAAAGAAGATTTAGTCGAAACCTGTAATGTCCAGAGCAGAATGCAGTTGTCGGACGAAAAAATCATGCCCAGACACGAACCAACGCAACAGAGGCCCACCCCCACGGTTCCCCTTCATTCAAAGTCCCACTGTTGATAAACAATGGCTAGCGGTAGCATATAGCATGACCGCTCACTGACAGGGGGAAAGTAGAAATCGATGATAATGCTCGATACGTAGATGTGAAGTTTGCCGTCGGCTTAGCACCCACGTCGTTTAAAAAGACGAGACGCAAATAAGGCGTCAGTATGTGCATATAATGTATCGTTTTTTTAAAAAATTGCAAAAATGCATGAGAATATACTACGCTTACCAACACCTTATGAATTGTACAATTTTTAATAACTCACAAATTAATCAATGGTCGTCTGCAGTCCTCAGGCACCGTCTTGTGATGACTTGAACTACGTCGTTTTCAAGTTGTCTACCCAGCAACTCCAACACGTAAGCTCATTGTTTTGGGCTCTGATTGGTTGATGGAGGCGTGGTTTTAAAAACACCTCAGCCAATGAAAACGTATACGGTATGTTATTCCTTTTTCTCGGTGCAGCTGCCCATATCGTTGATTCAAGTGAAATATATATATATACAGGATTAGAATCTTAAACTAAGTACAAATATACACGAAATTACATATTTAATTTGTAAAACTGTAATTACAGTAACAAAGTCCCTGTAAAGTAAAACTAAATATATCTTGTAAATTTGACACCGCAGAGAAAAGTGTTGACAACCCTGGCAAATTAAAGTGACGGGAAAAATTGGCAAGTTTATAAAGTGAGGCTTCATATTCTTGTGGTCCTGTCATCTGAATGCCCAGAAACCATACCTCAATTGTCAACTGTTAATCAAACTGCATTACTGTACTACAATCTGGAAAAAGTGGTGTTACTTTGTCTAGCACAAAAGTCGCCAACTCGCTCCTCGAGGGCACCTATTCTGCACGTTTTAAATGTTTCCCTCCTCTAACACACCAGATTCAAATAATCAGGATCGTTATCAGGATTTTGCAAAGCGTGTCGATTGCCCAAATACCTTTGTCGATCTTCAAAGTCAGTAGGGTCCCATCATTATTATAAACAGTGTCCACCCTTAACGTTTACATTTACCAATTATTTGCCAGAAATAATCGACGGTAACAACATGGCACGGGATAAATCAACATACATTCATTTTATGCTAAACATTTTCACAGTTCTGCCACCACGACAACTGTTAATGTGTTCGTTGAAACACCTGTTTGTTTGCGTGATAGTTTGTGTGCGCGCCATAAATTGTGTTCGGCTCAAATTGCCCTCCCCTCTCTCTCTAATTCACACACTTGCCAAGTCAAACGCTCATTTTTCATAAATTCGTCTTATTTAAACTCTTTTATTTTTTGGCTGACTTACATTTTATCGTTGAGACAACACAGAGAGGCTTTCACACCTAAGCATATGCCAAAAAATGGAAGGGGAAACGCAGCAGGTGTCAGAGCACCCAAAACCCCGCCTGCAAATTCCTGGAAAACACTTGCAGAGACGACCAAGTTTTGCAGATTGATATTTCCTCTCTATCTTTGTTGGTCCGTGGTCCTTATTGTGCGCAATCCTTAACACGACCTTCACATAGATTCATATTATTCATTGATAATTAATAATTATCAGCTACAATACATACTTAAAGGTAATTTGAGCGAATGAATATTTTCAAAAGTGTACCAAACTGGTAGCCCGTCGCATTAATCAGCACCAAGAAGAAGCTATCAATTTCAAAAAGCATGGTGACCGAAAAGATGTCGTTCAAGTGTTAATTAATCAGTTGTAGTGTAGCAGCTTGTGATTGTATAAATGGTCTTCTTCATTGCCAATCAATACAGTATTTTGATCGTCTGCCGCAGCAGTCACTGTTTTGTTGATGAAAACGTTGTGTTTATGTCGTCTAATAAAGCAGTCGTATATTGTGATAAAAGACACCAATGCTCAATTCAATTTTGTATCGTACAACCCAAATGAGTTTTCACCCAACTTTGAACTATTGTACCTCAACACCTGGGGGCGCTCTTTTACAACAATAACGTTCATGAGCAGGTTTTAAAAATAGGTGACGCTGATGAATGGGCTCGTGTGTCGGATGTATCCTGTAATGACATAATGTAGCAGGTAAGGTAGCCAAGCTTAATAATTACAATATACCGGGTTTGTACGTGAAGAAAGATTCTAAAGCAAAAAAACAACAGCAAACAAACAAAAGCATCAATTAAGTATTTATTCACATGAACATTAGATTTGCCAAAACAACATTAAGATCAAGGATAAGGTTTCATCGTGTAGAAAATACATTTGGCTTTGAAACAAGCAATAGTTATGTATGTTGGAAGTTTTACTACTGTACATGGTCCAACTTAACATACCACATTTAAAATGTCAAGGCATTAAATTAAGCCCATAAGGCTGGCACTGTGAGGGGTTGACATTTTAAGGGACATTTATACACAGCAGAGATGGTTTACAAAGCCATTGCATCATTATTCTTACACATAAAGTGATTTTTACCTGAAAGACAACTGTAGTGCACGCGAGACCCGAGTTAAAGAAAAACTTTACAGACTCCAGTTATCAATAAATTGCAAGTAATACACACTGAGTTGGAAACTCAACAAATACAATTAACCTGATAATCCGTCTCAGCATTAACTGAGTAAAAACATTCATTGGCATCATTTAAACCACTACGTAGTTGTCATAATAATATAATGCACGATTGTTATTCGGACAATTCAAAGACCAACCTGGAAGGCAAATTCTGTCTTGAAAGCAGTTCAACTTGTCAAGTGTGCCAACATTGAAATTAAATAACACATAGCTTTAAGTACAAGAATAAAACTAATAAATACCACTGCTATACATTAGACTATGTACAAATTTGAACCAAATTCTCATCAAAATTCCAGATACCCAACTATTATTCCAGTAGCCTATGACAAGAGCAGATATCCATATTTTTATTTTTTTTAATGCCTCCAGAAATCCTACTAGGGCGGTTGCTGTAAAGAGGTAAGAGGACAAGATGTCACTGGGTGCTTGAAAATTCAGCAAGGTTTAGGCTCTCATGTGCCAGCTGGGACAGGTATTTCTGCATTAGCGGAGGAAAAAGTAACAAAAAAAGATTACAAATAACGTTCTGTCAAATTCCGATTCAGAATGTTTGAAATATTATTTTGTTTCACTGGACTTCTTATACGAAACAGATATAAGACAACCCTGCTATGAAACCTCATTTCAACTCATGGGTAATAATATTGGAATAAATGTAAACCATTAAATATCTATATACATAACACGGGGACCACATGCAGATTTGACGGACAGCACAAGTGTCAAGAACATTTTTTTTTCATGGAATGTCACACGTTGAATTTCTTGCGTCAGCTGTGCTGCCCGCCAACAGAGAAATGTGACACGGCTTGCTGTTGAATGGACAATAATGTAACACACAACGGTTATGGATCAAGACAACAAGAAATATTTGTGTTTATGCGTAGATTGGGTGTGTCTATCCAAATATTGTATCTCACCGAATTGGAAAATATGAAAAGAGACACTTGTTAACTTTTTGTATCATTTTGGCCCATTCAATTTAATGAAAAGAAATGCCACTGGGGCAAGTAAGTGTGAACATTGATAATGTCTACATTTGATATTGAACTGTATAGAATTTTTAAAAAACTGTTCAATTAAAAATTTTTGACTCATCCTCACACTATCCTAACTGGTCTTTTTTTGTGTCTTGAACCATTATTTGTGTATTTTGAGAAATTTATAGGGACTGTATTTTATGTGTGTGTGATATTGTTTATTACACTGTATGATACTTGATTTTGCTTATGTTTATGCTTGTGGCTGTGAGAAATCATCGCATTTGTATCCTTCATCATGCGATGAAATGTGTGGCTTTCATTTGTGTTGCACTTGTTTCATCAAGAAAATTTTCCAATGGAGAAGCACAAAACAAGCAGAATTTTAACAGTAGCGGTAATGACGCTTAAGACAGATGCACACAAACAGGAATATAATGTTTGTGTGGATACACGCTCACACAAATATGATGGTAATGAGATCAAGGACATTGGCAGCACACACCTGTAGGTTCCTGTAGTGCACAGTACTGCGACAGTGGCTCATCTTTGCAGTTTCCTCGCTAGTGTAGAACAGCTCACAAAGTTTACAGTAGAAACCAGTCCTTGGTTCAATGAACTCCACCCCTGCAAAGCAATAAACAACATATAGGTTACCATTTTAAAAGGAACTATTGACATACTTTTAGGGGTGGAGCTATGAGGTGGCCAAGGGTGGTCAGGGCCGGCTCTTGTCACTCTCTGGCCACGCCTACCTACATTTGGGGGAAGATTTGGCTACCTGTAACTTCTCCGCCATTTTCAGATGGATGCAGTATTCCAAGACCCCTTGATACTCTGTCACAATGACTTTAGAGCGGGTGGCTGCCACTTGGTCAAAGGGCACATATAAATAATAATTCACACTCGCACAATTTAATCTTTCATCTGTTTGGAATACTGGAGGAAGCTGGCAGATCCATCCATCCAATGTTGATAGTGCTTTTCCTCAGTCAGGTTGTGAATGAGCTGGGGCCCATCTCAGCTGACCGATTGTCCATCAATCGCAGAGCACAGATGCAATCATTCCAACTCACATTAACACACAGCGACAATTTAGATCTTGAAAAGGCTACGCTGCTTTTTAAATACCATAGTCTGTGTGGCAATGATCGGAACACTAAAAGAACTTGTTGGAGACTAGCGACAAAACCTACACAGTGACATATGACGTTGCCTTTGGTATGAAAACTGGCCAATTTCAGTTGTGCTGAGTTCGTTCTGGAGAGAAACGCAGATTGTCGAGGCATCAGACAACCAAAATAACCCCATTACTCATGGCAGACAGCTCTCGTGTCTGTGATCTATTGTTACCACGCAGCAGCGGCTTATGTAAGTCCCCATGCAGCATGTGCTGGGCCATGCCATTCCAGTGCTAATAATAATATAAATACTCATGTCTCGGGGGTGCAGTTCACAAACAGATCACAGAAATAGGTCAGCAAGTGGCCAGCCAATTCCCGTCAATTAGAGTGCTAATGCAATAGGTTGTCGGTGCCATTATTAGCTGTGTACATGATAACGCTTTAACGTTCACACCAAGACAGCAGACGCTAATGTTTGAGATCTCAATGCTGCTAGAAGAAGGATGAACTGTGGAAGGGACATACGGATATTTTCTCTTTTGGATATAACCGGAGAACCTTAACGATTTTTTTTTTTCAATTTCCATCTCACTGCAACAGAAGTGCAAGAAAATGTATCGATCTTACCTAAAGGGATGATATGTTCAATAACGACTTTCTCTTGTTCAATAGATGATGAGGGCACTTCAATATCTGCCAAAAGGAAATTAAGAAAAAGGTA